ACATAACTAGTTATAGCCAACTTATAATATATTCAACAAAACTTAACCCAGCTTTATAGTTTTGTGACTCAAACACTACACCTTCAAGACCGGCCTATATATCAGTACTCGGTCTATGGACCAAGAAAAGAAGAACCCAATCTAGTAGATGGTATGGACTACTTATCAGAAGAATTGCGACTTCAATATTATAATTATGGAAACTGTTGGAAATGATATACAATATGTATGTATTTTATAGATATTTTTTATACCAATTATCTTCTATTATATTTACAAAACTGCATCAATTAGTTCTTTGGAGACAAGTAATGAAGTCAAGAGAATTACAATACCGCAGTACATAGATAATCTCAAAATATATTTTTATATACCAAATAGCAAAATGGTGTTAAGGATATAGAAAATTGTATACAAACGCAAATAGATTCTTGTCTTAAAAACTTGTGTAATTCACTTAACAGATTCGAGTCACAAAAACAGCAAAAACAACAATCCTCATTTGAAATATTTGGTAGTGGTGGTGGTGTATTTGGACAACCGCAACCACAGAAATTCGGAACACCTCAAAACATATTTGAAGCTTCTAATACCAATCAACCATCCACATTTGGAACACCTACTTTTGGACAAAATTCAATTAGATTTCCAGAAACTCAACAAGAGTTTGGGACATCTATAGGTGGGATTAGTTTTGATCAAAATATAGCTAGTTTTGGTGTATCAACACAACAAACAATTGAAGGATTCAGACAAACCGCATAGCCAGATCCATTTTTACAACAACAATTCAAGTTCTAAGGTAATTCTATCTGGTCTTAGTCAAGTAAAGTCAAAGGTCTTGTAACTTTACTGATGTCTTATATCTTTTTCTTCCCTTTTAATTGAGGTCACTGGGTTTTTAATGAAGTATTGTTTTGATCTTTCTTTTCTTCTATTATGCGCTTCTAACCCATGCATAATCGTTGTAACCATCCAATAATCTGTTACATCCAGTAATACGATTTTTATTTCGATTCCAAAAAAACTACTTCAAAGTCAAATCCTTATTTTGCTTAGAGCACATGTAGAACTTCTTTTATTCTACCTCTGTGCTTAGTTAATATGTCTATTATGGAACCTCAGAAGTTAACTTTTTTATCTTCATCATGCTTGCACATGACTTATATGAAGTGATTAAGAATCTCTTTCTTTGCATCTTCTTTTACTAAGAATAAACACTTATAGTTCAACTCTAATAGATACCTTTTTATTTTTAAAAGAAGACAAGTTGATTAAAAAATTTTGTAATTCTATATGTCTATATAATTAAAATAAAAAAAAAAATTCATCAATTTTAGGTAGGCAATTGTTAAGATATCTTCACTCAAGGTTTGAAAAAAACTTTGCTGCAGCTTTTTTTAATAGTTACTCAAGTTTTTTTAAAAACTTTAAATGAAAGCTATCTTGACAACACCTATTTAAAATCAATAAATTTTTTTATTCTGATTTTATAATTAAAATAAAAATTTTTTATCAATTTTAGATAGTGGCTGCCAAGATAACTTCGCTTAAAAAACTTTGTTGCAGCTTTTGTTTTAGTTATCCAAATTTTTTTCTAAATTTTGAGCGAAGATATCTTAACAACTACTATCTAAAATTGATTATATATAGTTATTGGATGTGAAAACAGCCAATAACAGAATTATTTGCAAAATAATTCATTTTATCTGGCTGCGTACATAGCATCCAATAATGGGTTTATCAGGTGGCTTATGATGACCGAACTAATAGAATAATTCAAGTTCTTTTGGTAATAATTGGATCAAGACATAAATGTTTAGAACCTGATTGTTATATT